GTTTATTTTTTTTGGTTGAAATATTTATTTATTTATTTTGGATGCCGCCGGTGTCGTGTCTTGAGGATTCGCGCTACTTCAGGGGACGGGGCAGGAAAGGGGCGTCGGTGCGGGGCTGCGGGGCGGGGAGGGCAGGGCAGGCACCCGGCGGGGGGGGCTGGAGCGCTGGCCGCCTCCCCAAACTGTTGGGGCAAGTTTGTGGCGTTGGTTTCGGTGCCGAATGAGGCTGCTGAGCCGCGCCGCGCCGCCGGTGCCTCCTGCGGGGTGCCCGCTGCCAGACGCCTCGAAGCGCTGTATTGCCGGCACCTGAGGGGGGAGAGGGACACGACCCGTGCTCGGGGCCTTTTTAAGGAGGTTTTAGGGGAAGGAGAAAAAAAAATTAAAAATAAGAAACCCACCTGGGTGTCAGCGGAGGCGTGGGAGAGACGGGGAGCGGCCCTCGGCAGCAGGGGGCGGCAGAGCTCCACGGCGGCGGCCGCCTGCGCTCGGGCCCGGCCCTGCCCCGCTCCGGGACGGGATGGGGGTGTCTGCGCCCCCCGCCGCCGGCACCGGTGGGTGCGGGCACCCGGGGGGATCCGCTCTCCGGGGCGCCGAGGCTGAATGTCCCACCCAGAGGCTCTGCGGTGTCTTGTGGGGGGTAGTGAGATCTGTTGCGCTGGAGAAAAAGGAGGGGGGGTGTGGGGTGGTATTATGCCTTGAGCTATTAAGAGCGCAGCTCCGAAGGTCTCCTTGGGTGCGTTTATCGCTGCACCTCACACCGTACAGGCGTTTTGTCTCGGTGATAAGTAGCAAAGAGCCACCAGATACTCGCAATTTATATATAAGTGCTTCTGTGCTTTTGCCACCTCGGGATCAGCTCCGAAGGTCTCCCTGTTAGCAGCGACTCAGAAACGGTCCGGAGGCTGCTCAGCAATAGCCAGCGGGGGGAGAAGCGCCGTGGGCAGAGCCGGTTGTGAGGGTCCTGACCCGAAGTCTGCCTGCCGGGGGGGGCATCTATTCTCGAGTGCCTCTAGAGGAGGAGGAGGACGGGAGAGCTTCCTCCAGGCTTTGCATTGATTTACCTGGGTGTAACGTGTACAGAGATGAGGTCTGTGGTTCCTCTAACGGGGGAACGGTAGAAAGCTAGTTTGTGAAGTGTGATCACTGCAGCGTAGGAGGATTACATAGTTTTGGTATTTTACTATCACAAATGTCAGGAGATAAATAATGGAGTGAAATTCTAGATGCTATTATGCTGAGTTGTAAAAATCATAGGGGGATAAATATGAGGGGGGAGATGTAAATGAGAGGAGGAAAGCTGAATAAATCCAATATCCATAGTTTCAATTTAAAAAAAAAAAAATCAGCTTTGGGGTTTTTCTTGGTGGTTTCTTTTTTTTTTTTTTTAATAAAGGGGGTTTAATTGTATTGGCAGAAGAAAGAGTAAATTTTTTTTTTTTTGAACTGGCTATAGAAATAGAAGGAACATGCAGCTTCATTCCACAGCAGGAGATAGTAAATGGGAGTGGGAAAACATCTGCATATGGAAAATATTCCCATTTAGGTTGCTAGGGGAGAGGAAAATTCTACAGTCACTCAAATCCCTTACCATAATGATGCTTATTAAAATAAAAAAAAAATATTGTGCATTTTTTATTTTTTTGATATCTCCTTGAAGTAGTCTTGGGAATTTCTTGAAGTGATTAAAATAATTTAAGAAGCTATTCCAAAAACTCTTGAGATCTATCTTCTTTTGGGAATGCAGTGGTGGGGAACGCTTATAATATCAACTGAAGGTTGACGTGTTTGTGAGGGTTTGTTTGTTTTTAAGAAAACCAGTGTTATCTTGAGTATTAAGTGATGATGATGACATTTTTGTTAGAGAAGAGTGTGGATGTTTAAGAAAAATCCAGTAATTAGATTTGGATCATTTGCTTTAGAAATACTGGAAGTCATAGGTTAAGGATTTATATTTCTAAGAATATAGCTACAGTAGATTTTATGAAGAATGACTGAAGCTTTTTCTTTGGAAAGTGCTGGTGTTTAAGACTGAGAGAGGGAACTGTGATGTATTTGTTCCATTTCAGAAAATCAGAGCATTTTGAAAACGAGTAGCAGACAGCAACCCCCTCCCCCCACCCCTTAGGTTAAGAGCTTATGAATGTCATAATTATCTACCAGGGCCAAATATTCCCCCTCCTAATTTCATCACAAGGGAGGAGTTTAACTGGCAATGTTGTTATGCTAAAACAAAAGGATTTTTTTCTTAACCTTTCAAAGCTATCCAGACAATTCATCCAGAGTGAAAGGCCCAAATTTAATTAGCTTTGCTTTAATAAAAACAAAACACACACCCCAAACCAACAAAATAGCCTACTCCCTCTGTAAATCTGCTTTTCAACACATCTAGTGATACAACACTCAGAAGAGGAGACTTCATTGGTTTTTACCAGTGTCTGGGGACACTGACTTGAAGTGGATGAAATGGACATCTTCCCAGATTGCAGAATCCTATTTCTTTTATCGCTCTGCATAATAAACAATTCTCTAGGTTAGCACATTTTTGTTAAGTTGAAATAGAAAATGTTTTGCTTGTAGAATTTAATCTATTTTGTGCTCAACCAGGAGATTCATAAGAGTGAGTACTTGTTCAGTCATTGTGCTTTAAGTTTCCCCTTTTCACTGCTTTAATACGGAGTTTAGGTTTGGGGTTTTTTGTGTTGGTGTTTTTTCCCTCTTTTGAAGAGTTTCTCTTTAAAACTGCTTATAAGGGACTGTTTGTTAATAAGGAACATCCCCAAAAGAGATGCCAGCATGTGTGTCTTATTCACTACAGTGCAGTCACTTTCTAGAATCCTGCTTCTTTCTGCTTTTTACACAGGGAATTAATAAAATCTGAAATTTTTGAAATCAATTAGTTTGGCTGCTGGATTAAGTGGAACTAATATTTTATTCTAGTTGTATACCAAAACGTGAAAAAAGATGAGACTTCAGCAAACCATTGTTTTTTTGCTACCAGTTGATTTATGCAACTACGTTAAGGTTAAAATACATCTACCTTCTCCTCTCATCCTTTCACCCTTCAAAAAAAATCCAAACCAACAGAATTCAGGCAAAGTAATATTTAATTT